CTTCACTGCCCAATGTTCATAATGGTTTTTTGAGCACAGGATTTTTGTAAATGTGTGTTCATCTCTGAGCAGTTATCTCTCTGCTTTCCCATCTCTGCATGTCCTCTCTTTTGCATTTACCCACTTCATATCACCCGATCATCTCTTAGTTAGTTTCTGCTCATCCACATATGTTTTACTTTAAAGTGCGCAGCTTGAAGCTGGTCTGAAAAGAGGAAAGGAAACCTCCGTTAGGGATTCCTGCGCTCTTTACTGACATGTCCTGCAACAACAGCAGTATTCTCAGCTCGTCTCTGCAACAGCAGTTCCTTTTTCTTTTTTATATCTGATAACACAGCGCTCTACTTTTGGGGCTAAATGCAGAAGTAGGAGTTGAATAAAGCGCTGCGCAGATGAGAAAAATGACATTACAAAATGGATACATCTGCTGCAAACAGAGAATGTGAGTAGGAGAGAAAAATATGTTAAAATTGATGTTTCTAAATGACTTTCCACAAATGCAAATCTCTTAACTGGAAGTCCTTGACACGTGAGTATGAGGTCATGGGGGAGGATAGGATTGTCTGTTTTTAACTTTCACAGAAAAACCTGAGAGCTTCTTACTTTTTGAATATAGGCGTGAAGTGGTTTACGGATTTGAAATGCTGAACAAAACAATGAATTCATTAATTTCTTCTTGAATCGTTTCCAGTGCTTCTTCCTATGAATCAGATACACACATGTTGCTGTTGTGAATCAACAAATTAGTTGCTCGTATAACATTTGCCTGTGTCTGTATGCTCAAAGTGTCTATATCTGTATTTCTGTGCTCTTACAATGACAGCCACTTCCTGTGTGTGTGTAAATGTATCCGAGAGCACCTCTGAATTCAGTTGTGTGGTGATGCGACTGCGTGACTGAGCCGTTGTTTTACACAACCTCATTATGTGTCAACCAACTGCGTTTTCTTTTACAACAAGTAATATGACTTTTGACGTCAAGTTTCCAACGTTGGAACAAAATCATGAGTTTTTAAATTGTGGCACGCTCAGAGGAGGCGTAGGAATGTAAACCAGTAATGAGAGTACTCTGAATTACTCAGCTAGTTGTCATAGCTCAGCTCCAATTCCTTCTGTAGGATAGACTGACTTTGATCAATGGTGTGAAAAGCTGTCGTTACTGCCATTGACACACACTTTAAATGAATGTAATGGAACATATGGATATGTATATTAGTGCTTCAGCTTTATTTTAACAACGTTTTGACAAGAAAAAACTATAACAACTGTGGATTTGACAAAGGGGAGGGTCTGAGCTGAGTGGGCCTTCACTCAGATGGTGTTTACAGGCCTCTGCAGAGTCTTAAAGCAGCTATGAACCCTGGGTAAATTAGCTGTTTATGAACCTGTTAAGCCCGAGAGCCCCCTGGACAGGTGGCTGCGGGGTGTTTTTTCACGAAACTGTGTCTCAGGGCTTCTTAATATCTAAAAACCTATTAATGTGTCATACCCATTTAACGGGAAGAAACTCGGCTAACTGACGATACGATCCATTTTTACCGAAACAAAACACAAGTCTCACAAGAAGCGTCTAAATGAGCCCTGAGCGAAAAAATGCTAACGCACTTAGCACAGAACTCTAGGTAAAATACCCTTATTACTAATCGTAACTGCACAAACAAGATATCAGATTAAAGCTGAGATTCCACAAATTCTATAGGTATTAGTATCATCACTGAGCGATCAGAACTCGCGACAGGGGAAGCAAACACAGACATCACAACACGTAGCATTACGGAGCATTCAAGGGAGATCGTCTCACCTATGCTGTTGTTCTGATCAAAAGTTGTGTTCAATGGCATTAAAACGATAAAAACACGGCTGAAGGTTAATCCATAGGTTAATCCAATGTGTCTGTGTCACTTTGAAAGGATTACTGATAATCCATCATTCAATTTTTAAGTAAAAAAAAGGAGATTTCATATTAGCTGCTAATGAAAGCCACCAGAGTCGCAGCTTCCTGTTTTGGGCATTCTGGCTGCGCATCACTCTATTCACCAATGGGTATTGTTTAGATGGATTTTAGGAACTTCCCCTCGATCCCATTGGCTCTAACGGTTCAAACGAGGTGTCAATCATCAAAATCGACAGAGGGGGGTCAGAGATATGGAAAATACACCCAAATGACTCCAGAAGTAGGTTTTTTAAGCTCTCTAAAAAGGTCAAATGTCAATTTTTTTGCATCAATCCTGATACGGGGTACTTATTATATGTTATAGTTTGAATTCCTAAAGCTTTTAGTCTACCATCCCATCTTCCAAGGGTGGTTTTCACTATAAGTAATGTTTTTCTTTTGGACGGACACAATCATTTACATTTTTTTATTATGTTCAATCTGAATTTACTTTAAAATTAAAAAAATCTATATTGATTCTGACTTTTCTACATCCAACTCACAGGTTTATCATTGCTTTGAGAAAAAAGATTATTAATTTACCCCTTTTAGAAGTAAAGTTATGGTCATTTGTTCTGGGAATGTCATTTTCGAGCCTGAGACCTGAAAACCAGGCTCGGGGTGGAACAGGTTAATGTTTGGTTACAACCTGCAATCAGGACTAATTTATAGATCAAATCCTGTCATAGAAACACACTGGGCTGATGCCAAGTAACTAAATACATTTATTTTACTGCAAGGTTTAAGTACATATTTCAGGTACTTGTACTTTTCTTTCTGTGCCACTTTATAATTGTACTCCTCTACAATTTAAAAGGATAGACTGTACTTCACTATGTATTCAACAGCTTTAGTTACTTTACACTGTAAATTCAGACTTTGACACACAACAAATACAAAATACTTTGAAATACTGTGTAGATTAAACTATCCAACATTAAGTACCTAAGACAATGAGTGAGTTGGCAGAAAATCATTAGCAGCACTTTTGCTAACTGTTTCTTTCATTTGAGTGCTTAGAATAATTGTATAGATGATTCAATATGAATATTTGTTTGAGTACTTTTACTCTCAATGCTCTTAATAAGTACATTTTCCTGACTACTTTCTCTTAACCCTCCTGTTGTCTTCGGGTGAAATCTGACCGATTTACTACTTTCATCAATCATAACTTTTTTGTTTTACATTCGATTGCATTAAGGCTTTATGATATCCTTCACAGTAGACCTTTGAACATACAATTGCTGACCACCACTTTCACACCCACACCCACACCCACACACACTAGATGTGTCCCCCCCCCTTTATGTGCCCAATCCCCCCATGTGAATCACACCTGGCACACACAAACACACGCACACACACACAGAACAATTTGATACATTTCCCGCTCTTATGTGCCCCTCCCCCCACATGGATCACACCTGGCACACGCAATACATGTTCAGTGTCTATTCTTTGTATATTTACTGCAGTGTTTCATGTATACCAGTAGTCTGATACAATATGTACAGTTTGAAAGGTTGTTAAATGAAATGTGGTGATGATTAATGGGTTTTTGTGTTAATATAATAGCAGTTAAAACAGGACCGGTCAAATTTGACCGCGAACACCAAAGTAAGGGGGGGGGGGGACACGAAGACAATAGGAGGGTTAAGAACCTTAATCAATGCAGGTTTTTTTTCTTGCAATGGAGTATCTTTACAGAGTAGTATTACTTTCTCCAGCACGGGTTCATTATTTACCATACTCTGTTTTAAATCAGTTCTCCTTTCCTTTTAGATTTTGAGCCTGTCCTCTCACTGTTTCTCTATTTACCGCCTGGTTGCCGTGTGTAGCTTCCAGTAGAGCATTTAAAAGAAATCGTCTTCCTGCTCAGCGCCTCACATACTGAAATGAGTCACTAAGTGTGTGTGTGTGTGTGTGTGTGTGTGTTTTTTTTTTTTTCTCTCCAGAGTTTCCTGGTTGTACGGGACTCCACGACATCTGTTCCCAGCCTACTGTGTGTGTCTGCAGGAGGAGACAATAATGAAGCAGTTATTGATTATTGTATCAAAAGCACGGGCACAGGTATGGACCGACTGCATGCAAACACACACACATATTTATCTTCCTCTATCTGTGTGTGTGTGTGTGTGTGTGTGTGTGTGTGTGACAGTACCCTCTGTGTGGCTTTCAGTGGGTATATTTCGAGTCATTATGTTTGCAGCAAGTGGCAGATAATAGTTGCATGTCATAGTTCTGCTTTTTTGTTTTAAACTCGAGTGCACACTGCAAACCTGACAAACCTGCAACAGGTGAGAGCAGTTAGTCACACCTCGTCAAACTGTCTCTCAAACTGCACACACCGGTTCCTTAAAGACTTGAAGTGCAATACTGTATCTACAATCTAGAGATAAAGACACAAGTGAAGTGACTCCTAAAATAAACTACCAGTGTATCACACACAGCATCAGAACGTCCTTTCTGATCTGCACATAGATTTAATGAAGCGATCACATTCGTTAGAAGTCCCTTTTCTTTCTGTCTTCCTGGTACGCTCTGGTGAGTTTCCAGGAATGTGTTTTGTTCATTAGAATTAACTCTGCCTACTCTTTCTCTGTTTGTCGTGTCAGTCCTCCAGCTGTCTGAGTCTCGTCTTTCTTTCTCCGACTTGGCGCAGCTCGTGCTCTTCTACTCGCTGACCAGGTAAGACACGGCTGGGTCACTGATGCTGTTTTGAATGTGTTGTGTATGGTTGGACTCCATACAACAGTGAGCTTCTCTAACATTTGTTGGCAGTATGTTATCTCCATCCTAAGTTATATATATTTGAAATGCATTTGAAACGTAGGGTTCAAATGATAGTAAGCTAATCGATTAGTCGTTTGCAAGAAAATTAATCATTAACAATTTTTATATTGGAAGTTCATGTTTGTTTCATCTTCCATTCATCTCTGATCCAACATTTTTCATCTAGAATTTGGTTATAATAAAAAATGTTATACAAGAATTGCAGAAATCCTGTTTCCAGCCTCTGAAATATGTATTTTCTGTAATTACATTTTAGCATATTAGAGGGTCCTATTATGTTAATTTCCACGTTCATATTTGTATTTTCTTCCTCTACTGCACACATGTGTCAAAGTCAAGGCCCGCAGGATAATTTCTAATTGCTATTAGATCTGGCCCGCTGGTATATTGCACGCACACCTTCAATCCATCCTGAGGGTCTCCTCCGCTCAGAGCCTGAGCCCAAACATTGATGACATTGCACCCAAGATGAGATGCCAAGTATCTGAACTAGCTTCACAGAGCAGCACACTGAGTCTTCTGTACTTTCTCTCTCACGACAACAGGGCATGTTTGTTTTCTCTTTGAGGGAAATAGTTTTGTTGAAGCTGTTGTTGGCCTGTGGGAAAATGTAATCCTAAGAAATGACTCTGGAAAAGCTGCAGATAGAGCCATAAGGAATGAATGCAACTGATTATTTAATGTTTAATGTTGTTTTTATAGGCAACAATTTAAGCTTTGTTAGTTCCAGGTTTAATATGTGCAACAAGTTCATTTCAATAAGTTCTGCAATAAACATTGAACCAGTCCGGCCCTCGACTAGTACCGTTTTTTAATTTTGGCCCACTGTGTGTTTGAGTCCGACACCCCTGATCTACTGTGACATGTCTCCAGGCTTTAATGTTCAAAAAGCTCTTTATTTCTCTCATACTGCCTGTGCTGCAGCACCTCTTTTCACCCTCTGTCTGAAACCAGAGCCCAGTCTGTTGTGATTGGTTAGCTGGCCGGCTCTGTTGTGATTGGTCCACCGCTTAGAGATGTCCCGCTCCTTAGCCTATCACGTGCAATGTGTTGGAGCGCTAGCTAATAGAATAATAATAATACATTTATATAGCGCTTTTCCTGGTGCTCAAAGGGCTATGCAAGCAAGTAAAGAAGACAAATAACAACAAAAGTAAAAAGTGCTAAGCTAGGTGGAATAAGGGCGAGGGGTTAGTGGATTAGGAGTTCATGGCAAGAGTGAAAAGGTGAGTTTTGAGGGATTGTTTGAATGATAGAATAGAAGTGTTATATAATGATGTCACTAAGTTCAGGGAGTCCATGGAGGTGTAATTCATTTATCGAGGATAATAATAATAATAATAATAATCATAAGCCCTATTAAGACGACTACTCAGACAATGCTTCTACATTTGGACTCAGTCTGTTTAACACAGTTATTATTATTTACGTTACCCTCTCTTCCTGTGTGTCAGGGATGTGTTGGCGGTCTGTCTCTCCATCCCTCTCTGGATCTACGGTGTGACAGAGAAGACCAGAGATCTCTCTCAACTTGAACCTGGTGAGTTCTTCCTGTCCGTCATTTCTGTCTCATTTCCTCTGACAGAAGTTGCGTCAGAAATGCAGAACCAGAGACGGTTTGTTTTTAAAGAAGTGTCTTTTCTATGACACCTTTTCTAATGCAGAAACTTGGCTCTGCTCCCCAACGGACCAACAGACTGATGAGATGACCCAGAGAGAGCCGAGCAACGTGATGTGCTCCATACAGGTGTGTGTGTGTGTGTGTGTATATGTGTGTGTGGGTATGTGTGTGTGTGTGTGTATGTGTGTGTGTGTACATTTATTTCTATAGCACATTACAGACCCAGCAGCAATTAAACGAGCTTTAAATTATCCATCAAGATAGATAGATATTTTCAAAAATAACAACATACAATGTTTTCTGCAAGAGGTGTATAACATGAATTGTTTAAGATCTTTTAATGACTTTGGGGAAAGCAGTGGTAAATAGAAAAGCGTTACGCCTTGATGAAGTGTTTATCATAGTTCTATTTTTGGTTCTTTTTCTTATCACTTGTCTTCTCTCACTTTGTATATGCACTAATAGTGAGATAAGACAAGTGACTATGCAAACCAAGGCAGATTCCTTGTATGTGCAAACCTACTTGGCAACACACTTGTTTATGTTCCTTATTCTTAATCTGATAATGCATTACCCACAATGCTATCTATTCAAGAAGGTGAGAAAGACAAGACGACCAATAACATTTATTTATTAGGATAAACCCCTTGAGATGCACCACCTCATTTTGAAAGGGGTTCCATTTGAATACTTAACAACTCCCTCCCTTAATTCTACACAGAATATTTTAAACCGTCTTATATTTGACTTAGTTTGATATCTTTTCTACTTCACTAAATTCCCATTTCCTACACAAATGGATTTTTAATTAACAGAAAATTGTCCCTTCAATTGTGTTTTTATTTGTCAGACAGTTTATAGATTTGATATCTTCACGGTCATCTGTATATTTTTCTTACTCTCTAATGCTGGTTTAATTATATTTCTATTTTGAGATGTTTATATTTTATTTCTACTCTTTTAATGTGTAATTATGTGCAATGCCTTGTTTTGTTTTCAGCTGCAAAAAAATCCCGAATTGGAATTAATAAAGTACATCTTATCTTATTTTATGTTATATAAAAGGAGAGTACACAGATATTCCCTAACTGTGCAGTCACCTAGAGACTAAAGCTTTGTCTCTGGTGAACTCAGCACCACATTTAGCAACCAAAGAGACGGATATTATACTCAAAGTTGTAAGAGTGAACGTTACAACGAGTTTGATCTTATTTAAAGCCTGTATTGTGGTAGAAAGTGTGTCAACGCATCCTATTTCTTCACTTCCTCTATAGCTGACTTCCACCAACGGGGCCTTGTGTATCATCAACCCTCTGTACCTGCGGGAACATGGAGATGATTGGCTGACCAACAGGACGACTTCAGCTCAGAGCGCCACTCAATCGCCCACCAATTACAGAAAAGAGCGCCGCCTCAGCTCCACCAGAGCATGGGCAGGAGCCGGGTTACTGAGTAAAAGAGCCATCTCCATGGAGCAGGACTCTGCTGCCATCACAGAGACCTCTGGTGAGGACTTGCTATACATGTATCAGAGAGGGCAAAAGTACATACATCCTTTACTCAAGTAGAAGCACAGATACTCATGTTTAAAAATACTCTGGTGAAAGTAGAAGTACTGACTAAACTTCTTTACTCAAGTAAAAGTAAAGAGGCTTTGAAATGTACTTAAGTAAAAAGTACCCATAACTAGCAGCTGTTTTAAAGAGTACCTGACCTCCCTTTATATTAATAGAACAATAATGTCGTTGTTAGCTAATAAATGTTTCCATGCTGAACAACGGCAACATGACAACGTTTCCATTGGTCCCTCTTCTTTAGAGAAGACCAGGAAATGATGGATACACGGATCGTGTTCAAATCAATAGGCACGCAATGACTCTAAAGAATAATGATCACGCATCAAACACACATTCAGACTAAAGGAACCAGCTGTTTGGAAAATGAGAGAAGTAGAAAGTACAAGTATTTGAGTTCAACCTGTAAGAAGTAGAAAGTACAGGTATTTGAGTTCAACATGTAAGAAGTAGAAAGTTCAGGTATTTGTGTTCAACATGTAAGAAGTAGAAAGTACAGGTATTTGAGTTCAACATGTAAGAAGTAGAAAGTACAGGTATTTGTGTTCAACATGTAAGAAGTAGAAAGTACAGGTATTTGAGTTCAACATGTAAGAAGTAGAAAGTTCAGGTATTTGTGTTCAACATGTAAGAAGTAGAAAGTACAGGTATTTGAGTTCAACATGTAAGAAGTAGAAAGTACAGGTATTTGTGTTCAACATGTAAGAAGTAGAAAGTACAGGTATTTGGGTTCAACATGTAAGAAGTAGAAAGTACAGGTATTTGAGTTCAACATGTAAGAAGTAGAAAGTTCAGGTATTTGTGTTCAACATGTAAGAAGTAGAAAGTACAGGTATTTGAGTTCAACATGTAAGAAGTAGAAAGTACAGGTATTTGTGTTCAACATGTAAGAAGTAGAAAGTACAGGTATTTGAGTTCAACATGTAAGAAGTAGAAAGTACAGGTATTTGTGTTCAACATGTAAGAAGTAGAAAGTACAGGTATTTGTGTTCAACATGTAAGAAGTAGAAAGTACAGGTATTTGAGTTCAACATGTAAGAAGTAGAAAGTACAGGTATTTGTGTTCAACATGTGAGAAGTAGAAAGTACAGGTATTTGAGTTCAACATGTAAGAAGTAGAAAGTACAGGTATTTGAGTTCAACATGTAAGAAGTAGAAAGTACAGGTATTTGTGTTCAACATGTAAGAAGTAGAAAGTACAGGTATTTGAGTTCAACATGTAAGAAGTAGAAAGTACAGGTATTTGTGTTCAACATGTAAGAAGTAGAAAGTACAGGTATTTGAGTTCAACATATAAGAAGTAGAAAGTTCAGGTATTTGTGTTCAACATGTAAGAAGTAGAAAGTACAGGTATTTGAGTTCAACATGTAAGAAGTAGAAAGTACAGGTATTTGTGTTCAACATGTAAGAAGTAGAAAGTACAGGTATTTGAGTTCAACATGTAAGAAGTAGAAAGTTCAGGTATTTGTGTTCAACATGTAAGAAGTAGAAAGTTCAGGTATTTGTGTTCAACATGTAAGAAGTAGAAAGTACAGGTATTTGAGTTCAACATGTAAGAAGTAGAAAGTACAGGTATTTGTGTTCAACATGTAAGAAGTAGAAAGTACAGGTATTTGAGTTCAACATGTGAGAAGTAGAAAGTACAGGTATTTGGGTTCAACATGTAAGAAGTAGAAAGTACAGGTATTTGGGTTCAACATGTAAGAAGTAGAAAGTACAGGAATTTGTGTTCAACATGTAAGAAGTAGAAAGTACAGATATTTGAGTTCAACATGTGAGAAGTAGAAAGTACAGGTATTTGAGTTCAACATGTAAGAAGTAGAAAGTACAGGTATTTGTGTTCAACATGTAAGAAGTAGAAAGTACAGATATTTGAGTTCAACATGTGAGAAGTAGAAAGTACAGGTATTTGAGTTCAACATGTAAGAAGTAGAAAGTACAGGTATTTGAGTTCAACATGTAAGAAGTAGAAAGTACAGGTATTTGAGTTCAACATGTAAGAAGTAGAAAGTACAGGTATTTGTGTTCAACATGTAAGAAGTAGAAAGTACAGATATTTGAGTTCAACATGTGAGAAGTAGAAAGTACAGGTATTTGAGTTCAACATGTAAGAAGTAGAAAGTACAGGTATTTGTGTTCAACATGTAAGAAGTAGAAAGTACAGGTATTTGAGTTCAACATGTAAGAAGTAGAAAGTACAGGTATTTGTGTTCAACATGTAAGAAGTAGAAAGTTCAGGTATTTGTGTTCAACATGTAAGAAGTAGAAAGTACAGGTATTTGTGTTCAACATGTAAGAAGTAGAAAGTACAGGTATTTGAGTTCAACATGTAAGAAGTAGAAAGTTCAGGTATTTGTGTTCAACATGTAAGAAGTAGAAAGTACAGGTACTTGTGTTCAACATGTAAGAAGTAGAAAGTACAGGTATTTGAGTTCAACATGTGAGAAGTAGAAAGTACAGGTATTTGGGTTCAACATGTAAGAAGTAGAAAGTACAGGTATTTGGGTTCAACATGTAAGAAGTAGAAAGTACAGATATTTGAGTTCAACATGTGAGAAGTAGAAAGTACAGGTATTAGTGTTCAACATGTGAGAAGTAGAAAGTACAGGTATTTGAGTTCAACATGTAAGAAGTAGAAAGTACAGGTATTTGTGTTCAACATGTAAGAAGTAGAAAGTACAGGTATTTGAGTTCAACATGTAAGAAGTAGAAAGTACAGGTATTTGAGTTCAACATGTAAGAAGTAGAAAGTACAGGTATTTGTGTTCAACATGTAAGAAGTAGAAAGTACAGGTATTTGTGTTCAACATGTGAGAAGTAGAAAGTACAGGTATTTGTGTTCAACATGTAAGAAGGAAAAGTAAAAAGTCGTCAGAAAAATAAGTAGTGGAGTAAAGTACTGATACCAGAAAAATGTACTTAAGTACAGTAACGAAGTATTTGTACTCCACTACTTCCCACCTCTGCTTTTTATACAATATTTGAGAAGTTATTCCAAAAAACCTTTTGTTATTTGCCGGTGGTTATGTTTGAACATGAAGTTTTCATTGACCAGGTTTTGAGATATCTGATTTATACCACTTTCATGTCTCTGTGTTATTTATAGTATAGCTACAGCCAGGAGTCAGCTAGCTTAGCTTAGCATAACACTGGAAGCAAGAACAACCTCTTGCATGGCTCAATCACAAAAGAAAACATATATATACATTTGTGTGGGTTTAGAAATAAACAAACAAGATATTAGCCAGTAAAATGTCCAGGTTCTGGTAGACAGATATTGTTACCTTGTTACTTTTCCCCATTGACTTACATTGGGAAAAAGACGTCTGTAAACCAACGTATCATTTTTTGGTAAGGTACGTTTGTTTATTTAGCACATTTTCAGACACAGATGTAATTCAAAGTGCTTTACTGTACATCATCATTAACACATAATAGGAAGACAACAGAAAGGAATACAATAAATAAACATAATGGAATAACAGATTCATAAAAACCATGCATAACAGAGATGCAGAATAGTTTCTAAACAACATTGTAAATACGGTAGGTGCTAAAACAAGTTAAAAGACTTCTGGGTAAGCAGCTGTAAAAAGTAATGTTTTTAGCCTCGACTTATGGTAGTTAGTACGTACCCAGTACGAAAAACATTGCAGTGGGATTAAATGCCAACACGGTGTTCATTATCCACATTCTTCGTCTCCAGGTCTGACCAGAGCCTTGTCAGCTGATTCTCCTCACTGCCCAACGTCAACATCAGAAACTTCAGCAGGCGTTGTTCTCCGGAGGCCCAGCAGAGACGCTGCCTCCTCCCCTGCTCCAGACAGGTATTTACTGTGTGTGTGTTCAGTAAATATGTGATCCATTCAGGATGTATCAAGGTGTTTCTTTCCCAGTCTTCCACCAGATCTGCGAGCAGTGATGAAGTAAGAAGAAAGGGAATCTGTGTGTGTGTGTTTATTTATTATCCCTGCAAGAATGGAAGCAGTCATCACATACAGAGCATCAACTAGTTCCTGAGCAGTGTCCTTCACATGCTGATATCCAAGAGAGGGAGTTACACAGTCACAAGATGGAGGAATAGAAAGCAGTCTTCAATGTTTAGTTCAGATTAGCTCCACGTCAGAAATGAGCATGCTTGTCATATGTCTATCTCCATAGAGGCTGAATCATGTTAATCACCTGTAATCACACATCCTGTCATGTTCACAGCTACAGTTGGGATACCTTTGTTATCATGTGGACTCTCATATTGGAAGAGGACATTCAGTATTTTCCCAACAGTTATAATAACACCTCTGCCTCCACCCCCTGTTTACAGAGTGAGTTCTGGGAGCCTCACCCCCTCCACCCCCTCCACCCCTGGGGGTTCGAACCGAGCGTCTCTGGAGCTGCCCCCCCACGGCAGCCCGGTGCCTCTGTCCCCCCACAGGGTGTCCTGGGTCGAGGATGGAGTCTGGCTGCCTCCTCCCAGACCTTCCTCTCGGCTCCATCCTCCATCTCTGGAGCTCGACTCGCTCTCAATCAGCAGCATCGAGGAGGAGCAGGAGTACCAGATCCCCAGCCCTGCTCCACACCACCAGTCTGCTCACCGATTGGCCGACAAGGTCATCCACCGTCTGTCGGCCGTGGGTCAGGCCCTCGGCGGATTGGTCAGCCAGAAGAAGAGACTGACCAATCGCGTGCATGAGCTGAGCGAGAGGAAAGGCTCGGCGTTCGCAGAGGCCGTGAAAGGATTTGTGGAAATGACGCTGAAGAAAGCTGGTGATCACGGCGGGGTCACGGGGTCAGAGTTCCTACAGGAAGTGAGGTCATCGCTCAGCTCACTGAGGGAAACGCTGCTGGACTATCCAGACATCCTGGCACTGTTGGACAGCATCACCGACCTAAATGACTCAGAGATCGGTGAGTGAAAAGTCCGAATTTTGAGAAAAAAGTAAGAATTCTGAGAAAAAAGTCAGAATTCTTAGATTTTCATAAAAAGTCAGAATGTTATAGCAGCTTGTTTATTAGCTTTGGCCGAAAATATGCAGTTTTTTTTGCAAATCAGTAGATATGTAAATAATTGGTGCGTCTTTGAATTTGTCCTCAAACTAGAAGAAAGGTGCAAGTCCACTGCAACTCTTATGCAAGACTCTCTTTTTGCCACTGCCTTTTATTACATCAACATGTGTCCCCTCTTCTTCATGTCTCTTCTACATCAACATGTGTCCCCTCTTCTTCATGTCTCTTCTACATCAACATGTGTCCCCTCTTCTTCATGTCTCTTCTACATCAACATGTGTCCCCTCTTCTTCATGTCTCTTCTACATCAACATGTGTCCCCTCTTCTCCATGTCTCTTCTACATCAACATGTGTCCCCTCTTCTCCATGTCTCTTCTACATCAACATGTGTCCCCTCTTCTCCATGTCTCTTCTACATCAACATGTGTCCCCTCTTCTCCATGTCTCTTCTACATCAACATGTGTCCCCTCTTCTTCATGTCTCTTCTACATCAACATGTGTCCCCTCTTCTTCATGTCTCTTCTACATCAACATGTGTCCCCTCTTCTTCATGTCTCTTCTACATCAACACGTGTCCCCTCTTCTCCATGTCTCCTCTACATCAACACGTGTCCCCTCTTCTTCATGTCTCTTCTACATCAACATGTGTCCCCTCTTCTTCATGTCTCTTCTACATCAACATGTGTCCCCTCTTCTTCATGTCTCTTCTACATCAACATGTGTCCCCTCTTCTTCATGTCTCTTCTACATCAACATGTGTCCCCTCTTCTTCATGTCTCTTCTACATCAACATGTGTCCCCTCTGTGGAAAGAGACTCTGAAAGTTTCAGGAACAAAGATTCTCTCTTTTTGATCCATTTCTATAAAAACCTGTCTGAAAATGAGCTGATCAGATTTTGGCCACTTTATGATGTCATAACGATGTTTTATCTTGTGTAACCATTAGCCAATCAGCAACCAAGGTAACCCCCCCCCCCCCCCACCTTATCACCTGAATCTCCTCCTAGAGCACCATTGTGTTCTTTGTCACCAAATCTCTCTCAGAGGGGCGTGGGGAGGGGCTCCTTATTTTCATCTAAAGTAACAGACAGAGAATCAGCACTTTGGAAACAGAGCTGAAACAGAGGGGATTATGGGTAATGCTGCAATGATCTGTTTGGTGTTTCAGCCAATCAGAGACAGGTTCTGGATATATCTGAGACCTGTAATATATTGATAAAAAACAGTATATTAGGGGACCTTTAAATGTTTTTTGTAAGGCATTTTAAGTTCCCTTTTTGTACGAATGTGCTATACTAACCTACTTTCCCCCTCTCCAGACTCCCTGCTGGAGCTTTCCCTCTACAAAGTTGCACTGAAGCCGGTCTCTGCTCACCTCTACTCCTGCATTCACGTGTCCCGGACCAACGACGGCAGCTTCGACCGTCTGCAGAGCAACATGAGCGTTCTGGAGAAGAACGGGGTGGAGGAGCTGGGCGGGTCTGCAGGCGTTGGGGTTCCCGACTCTCTCACCCTGGAGAGGATCCAGCAGAGGTGGACCAGTATGCACGCGGCGTACTCTCCCAACAAGAAGGTCCACATCCTGCTGAAAGTCTGCAAGAGCATCTATCACAGCATGAGTGCTAATGCTAACTCAGGTAGACAGGAGTGTGTTTTCTAATCATTGCTGTCATACTTTCTTACTTCTATTTGCAGAGGTGGGAAGTAGTGGAGTACAAATACTTTGTTACTGTACTTATGTACATTTTTCTGGTATCAGTACTTTACTCCACTTATTTTTCTGACGACTTTTTACTTTGACTCCTTACATGTTGAACACAAATACCTGTACTTTCTACTTCTTACATGTTGAACACAAATACCTGTACTTTCTACTTCTTACATGTTGAACTCAAATACCTGTACTTTCTACTTCTTACATGTTGAACTCAAATACCTGTACTTTCTACTTCTAACATGTTGAACACAAATACCTGTACTTTCTACTTCTTACATGTTGAACTCAAATACCTGTACTTTCTACTTCTAACATGTTGAACTCAAATACCTGTACTTTCTACTTCTAACATGTTGAACTCAAATACCTGTACTTTCTACTTCTTACATGTTGAACTCAAATACCTGTACTTTCTACTTCTCACATGTTGAACTCAAATACCTGTACTTTCTACTTCTTACATGTTGAACTCAAATACCTGTACTTTCTACTTCTTACATGTTGAACTCAAATACCTGTACTTTCTACTTCTAACATGTTGAACTCAAATACCTGTACTTTCTACTTCTTACATGTTGAACTCAAATACCTGTACTTTCTACTTCTAACATGTTGAACACAAATACCTGTTCTTTCTACTTCTAACATGTTGAACACAAATACCTGTACTTTCTACTTCTAACATGTTGAACTCAAATACCTGTACTTTCTACTTCTTACATGTAGAACACAAATACCTGTACTTTCTACTTCTTACATGTTGAACTCAAATACCTGTACTTTCTACTTCTAACATGTTGAACTCAAATACCTGTTCTTTCTACTTCTAACATGTTGAACACAAATACCTGTACTTTCTACTTCTAACATGTTGAACTCAAATACCTGTACTTTCTACTTCTTACATGTAGAACACAAATACCTGTACTTTCTACTTCTTACATGTTGAACTCAAATACCTGTACTTTCTACTTCTTACATGTTGAACTCAAATACCTGTACTTTCTACTTCTAACATGTTGAACACAAATACCTGTACTTTCTACTTCTTACATGTTGAACACAAATACCTGTACTTTCTACTTCTAACATGTTGAACACAAATACCTGTACTTTCTACTTCTAACATGTTGAACTCAAATACCTGTACTTTCTACTTCTAACATGTTGAACACAAATACCTGTACTTTCTACTTCTTACATGTTGAACACAAATACCTGTACTTTCTACTTCTAACATGTTGAACTCAAATACCTGTACTTTCTACTTCTAACATGTTGAACTCAAATACCTGTACTTTCTACTTCTTACATGTTGAACTCAAATACCTGTACTTTCTACTTCTAACATGTTGAACTCAAATACCTGTACTTTCTACTTCTAACATGTTGAACACAAATACCTGTACTTTCTACTTCTAACATGTTGAACTCAAATACCTGTACTTTCTACTTCTTACATGTTGAACTCAAGTACCTGTACTTTCTACTTCTTACATGTTGAACACAAATACCTGTACTTTCTACTTCTAACATGTTGAACTCAAATACCTGTACTTTCTACTTCTTACATGTTGAACTCAAATACCTGTACTTTCTACTTCTAACATGTTGAACACAAATACCTGTACTTTCTACTTCTAACATGTTGAACTCAAATACCTGTACTTTCTACTTCTTACATGTTGAACTCAAATACCTGTACTTTCTACTTCTAACATGTTGAACTCAAATACCTGTACTTTCTACTTCTCACATGTTGAACTCAAATACCTGTACTTTCTACTTCTTACATGTTGAACTCAAATACCTGTACTTTCTACTTCTTACATGTTGAACTCAAATACCTGTACTTTGTACTTCTTACATGTTGAACACAAATACCTGTACTTTCTACTTCTTACATGTTGAACCCAAATACCTGTACTTTCTACTTCTAACATGTTGAACACAAATACCTGTACTTTCTACTTCTTACATGTTGAACACAAATACCTGTACTTTCTACTTCTTACATGTTGAACCCAAATACCTGTACTTTCTACTTCTTTCATGTTGAACCCAAATACCTGTACTTTCTACTTCTCACATGTTGAACTCAAATACCTGTACTTTCTACTTCTCACATGTTGAACTCAAATACCTGTACTTTCTACTTCTAACATGTTGAACACAAATACCTGTACTTTCTACTTCTTACATGTTGAACACAAATACCTGTACTTTCTACTTCTTACATGTTGAACCCAAATACCTGTACTTTCTACTTCTTACATGTTGAACCCAAATACCTGTACTTTCTACTTCTTTCATGTTGAACCCAAATACCTGTACTTTCTACTTCTCACATGTTGAACTCAAATACCTGTACTTTCTACTTCTCACATGTTGAACTCAAATACCTGTACTTTCTACTTCTTACATGTTGAACTCAAATACCTGTACTTTCTACTTCTTTCATGTTGAACTCAAATACCTGTACTTTCTACTTCTTACATGTTAAACACAAATACCTGTACTTTCTACTTCTTACATGTTGAACCCAAATACCTGTACTTTCTACTTCTTACATGTTGAACCCAAATACCTGTACTTTCTACTTCTTTCATGTTGAACCCAAATACCTGTACTTTCTACTTCTTACATGTTGAACACAAATACCTGTACTTTCTACTTCTTACATGTTGAACCCAAATACCTGTACTTTCTACTTCTTACATGTTGAACCCAAATACCTGTACTTTCTACTTCTTTCATGTTGAACCCAAATACCTGTACTTTCTACTTCTCACATGTTGAACTCAAATACCTGTACTTTCTACTTCTCACATGTTGAACTCAAATACCTGTACTTTCTACTTCTTACATGTTGAACTCAAATACCTGTACTTTCTACTTCTTTCATGTTGAACTCAAATACCTGTACTTTCTACTTCTTACATGTTAAACTCAAATACCTGTACTTTCTACTTCTTACATGTTAAACACAAATACTTGTACTTTCTACTTCTCTCATTTCCCAAACAGCTGGTTCCTTTAGTCTGAATGTGTGTTTGGTGCGTGATCATTATACTTTAGAGTCATTGCGTGCCTATTGATTTGAACACGATCCGTGTATCCATCATTTCCTGGTCTTCTCTAAAGAAGAGGGACCAATGGAAACGTTGTCATGTTGCCGTTGTTCAGCATGGAAACATTCATTAGCTAACAATGACATTATTGTTCTATTAATATAAAGGGAGGTCAGGTACTCTTTAAAGCAGCTGCTAGTTATGGATACTTTTTACTTAAGTACATTTCAAGCCCATACTTCTTTACTTTTACTTGAGTAAAGAGTTTAGTCAGTACTTCTACTTTGACCAGAGTATTTTAAACACGAGTATCTGTACTTCTACTCGAGTAAAGGATGTGTTTACTATTGCCACCTCCGTCTATTTGTCTGTGAGTTAACTTCCCGTGTTCCTCTCCTCTCTTGCAGGCACAGCGTTCGGAGCGGATGACTTCCTGCCCTGCCTCACCTGGGTTCTGCTCCGGAGCGATGTGGTCACTTTACACCTGGACACGGACTACATGATGGAGCTGCTCGACCCCACACAGCTGCAGGGAGAGGGTGAGGAAGCAAACACACACCGTCAGGGTAACACGCACACATTTCCACCAAAAACACAGTACGGCGGTTTGCTGATTCATTAGTTGTTTACTGGAATTTTCTGGAAGAACCATCCCTAAATTACAGAATTTAACTTTAATGTAAGTTTGTTGTAACTAAATAATTTTTCTCTCACTATCTGCCAGGAGTAACTAATGCTGTTGTAGCTAAGCTAGCTAACTGACCAAACCTCCATTAGCTTGCTGATTTATGATTTACGACCCATTCTTCTGACTAAACGTTTAATAAAATACTATACTACCCACATTTCCTAACACATATATTGGTTATGTTTTAAAGTGGCAAAAGACAAGATTGGTTCTTTATAAGCCAAGCTGTCACACTGCAGTTCTGTGTGCTCCCGGGCAGGGCCGTGGGAAGTAGGGATGCTGAGGGTGCTGCAGCACCCCCTGGTGGAGGACAGGGGATCTGCACTTCCACAAGATTAAATACAAATATAATACCAAAAAAAATGAATTTTCAGCCTTGATGTAACAACATTCATAATTAAGTAAAGATAACACCCTTTTCACCCCGGTTACATTTTAAATTTGCCCCGTACGATGGGCGCTGTAAGTGATGAAAGTGGGGGATGTTGGCTTATCAGGCGCCCGCAGCTCACAGCCAGCGTGAGAGAGATAGATAGATAGATAGATAGATAGATAGATAGATAGATAGATAGATAGATAGATAGATAGATAGATAGATAGAGAGAGGGGGTGCACCGGTAGCGGCGGGGAATGTTGTCAGCTTCTGCTGCGCTAACGGATATAAGAAGCTGTTTCTACAATAATGTGGAGGGAGAGCTCTCCTGTCAGACTGAGAGGCTCAGTGAGGTAAAGGACTCTTGAGTGTTTAGATAGTTCACTTTAGTCTAAGTTATCTCAGTGGGTCTCAAACGTTTTGATCACAATTTATGTAAACACATATTTCCAAGGCACTCCTTTATAATTATTAGGATAAATAACAGGTTTGAAATCATTCCAATGTATACTATAGGACCGTAAACTACAGATATTGTTTTGAAAACTGGAGAGATTTAAAAATATGCATAAATAAATAAATGTTAACTGATAAAATAAGATATAAATGAACCAGAAAAATAAAACAAGTTAGCCTACATGTATTTGTTATTGGCTATAGGTTATCCGTTATGTTCACATACTTATTTGATTATTAAAATGCAAACCGATCTTTTTCATATGGGTGTTTTAGAGTTGTATCCCGTAGATCAGTCTCTAGTAATTGGGCGCTCAAAGTGCACCAGATTGAAGCATTTTACTTAAAAATGTTAAAACACCCCCGGACCCCCCTAGAGGATGTGAAGTCCACCCCCCAATTAAAACATGTTCATGCAATACTAAATACATTTGAAGCCTTTTTATATAAGCTGTCCACGTGGTCTTTTGTAGAGGTTTTTCATTGCCAGCTAAAATCTTGCCTAGGGCAGCAAATGGGTCAAAACCGGCCCTGGTGTCATCCCCACAGCACCCCCCATTTGAAACATGTTCCCACGGCTATGCAAACTAACTGAAGGCTCCATTGATGGCAAACAAAGAACGAGGTTTAACACTTTTTTAAAGTTGCATCATTGAAGCTCTTGAGTCTGAACGTAATGGCTATCTCTTTCATTCCTCCCACAAAGAGTGAATGAATCTTCAAAGCAGGATATGAGTCAGAATTTCACCACTTCCAGTTCTCTCGAGGCCAATGTTTTTTAAACGTGTTTTAGGTTAGATGCTGGAGGTAAGATTTGTTATCAGCACGAGCTTATGAGATTACTCTCTGCAGGAAGCCCTTGTGATGCTAACTTCCGATGCACTACTTCCGTTATTTTATTACCTTTCACTATAAAAGCCCTAGATAGAAATATACACTGCAAAGATGTTAATCAGATTGTGTTTTGCTAAGATGCAAATCAACAAAATAGCTTACAGTTGTTATTCCAAGTTGGACGGTTTTGTTGGTAGCTCAGAGGAAAACTGAAAATGTTTGAGTTGTCTTTGAGTCAGCGGCATCAACAATTATCCAACTTTGAAACCCTGAGGGGTTAAAGTAGTCTACATCAAATCAAAATGTATTACAGCCCCACATCACGACACGTGCCTCAAAGCGCTGGACAAAAAAATACAAATGTCATAGCAAAAAAATGATAAAAACATTATGAACAACAACACAAGTAGTGCCATATGATCAAAGCATGTGACAGAAGTGATGCCAATGAAGATGGGAACTAGGTGATGGGAATTAGTTGACAAGGAAGACCGATGCGAAGGAGAGGTGCTCTGACGCAAAAGGCTCTGCCACCTACTGATGATTTGTGAATGCAGGGGATGGAAAGGAAGCATTATGTGATCGTGGGAGTCTGGTAGATATTCACAGGGTAATTCATGATGATAGATAGGGAGGTGCTAGTCCATGTAAGATTGTAAAGGTTTCATCTTGTATTTTCATTAGAGGGGGACCAGAACAGTTTTTTAACAGTAAAATCTGGAAGTTTGATCTTAAGTGAATCGGGAGATAATGCAATGAAATGAAAACAGGTGTGATATGATCAAACGATATAGATACTGTTCAGTTATAATAACGAGTGATAGCAACTAATGTTTCCCTCTCTGTATTCCTTATATCAACAGGTGGCTACTACCTTACAACTCTATACGCCTCTCTTTACTACATCAGCAGCTTCAGGCCTCGATTGGCCGCCCGTCAGCTGAGCGTCGAAGCGCAAAACTCTCTCAACCAATGGCATCACAGGCGCACGCTCCACTGCAACCAATCGCGGCGCAGCAGCAACCGACGGACCATTCGCAGGCAGGCGTGTCAGGACAGAGGGTCGCAGAACTCTGAGACGGACACTGAGAGGAGAGAGGAGAGAAGTGGAGGAGACGGGGAGTCTTTTGATAATAACGAGGAGGAGACACAGCAGCACACAGAACCCGAGGCTCTGCAGCCGCTGGATGAGGAAGCACACACTCCTTCCGACTGTAACCAGAGAGAGGAGGTCACGAGCAAACAGGAAGAGACACAGAGTGTGTGTGGAGAAGAGGACCACAGATTATTGTAATTTAGAAACAGATCTGAGATGCAATGAGCTGTTGGACACACGTGTATTTGACCATTTAGCTTTAAAGAGGCCCTATTATACCACGTGGGACCTGAAACACCTCCATTGGACTCCTTTGTTTACTTCAGGAACATAATGACATCAATATGTAACACTTGCGCTTCTATTGGCTAGCACTCCAACACATTGTTCGTGATAGGCTAAGCGGCGGGACTTCTCTAAGCGGACGGAGAAGAGGACCACAGATGATTGTAATGGAGAACAAATATAGATGCAATGAGCTGTTGGACACATATTTGAGCATTTAGACTTAATAAGACCCTATTATGCTAATTGGGGTGTTCACTTTCATGTAGTTATAGTGGTTTCTGTGCATCTAAATGGTCTGCAAAGGATAACATCCCTGAGTTTCTTTCCCACACACTCCCACCCTGTCTGAAACGCCTCCATTGGACTTCTTGTTTACTTCAGGAACATAATGACATCACTATGTAACACTTGCGCTTCTATTGCTAGCGCTCCAACACATTGTACGTGGCGTGCTAAGAGGCGGGACTTCTCTAAGCGGTTGACCAATCACAACAGAGCCGGCCAGCTAACCAATCAGAGCAGACTGGGCTCTGGTTTCAGACAGAGGGTGGAAAGAGGTGCTGCAGCTGGAGACATGTCACAGTATAGGCACAACATACTGATATGAACCTGAGCAGAATACGGCCCCTTTAATAAAAAACTCAAATCATTGTTCATTTGAAAAGGTCACACTGTTCACATTGAGGCAATAACTTGTTGAGGCTTCTCCTTTTGAAAGGGCCATTGCTATACAAAGTTGGAAAGCACTGGCCTAAATGAGTCCAAATGAGCTGTATTGAAAAGAATAGAAGCAAGTATTGAAATGTTTTTATAATTGTATTTATTTTGGACAGCTAATTTGTTCATGTTTGACGGCTTTTAGATGTTGGTTGTACGCCTTGTTTCTGCTCTCATCAGTTATCCATATCATTTCCAGCCGCACACAATATCTCTCATTTATTATTTACAGCACAAAACAGGGGGCACCAGCTGATGAATGAGCAAACAAAGCAATCAGTTTAACTTTAATTATCCGCATCAAACACGGAAAATCTTCGGGGCAGAAACAAGTTAGCATCTCGCTGGTGAACATTTGGCTGGAGTGAGAGAAAGAGACCATGTGTCTCTAAATAAATGCTAATGTAGCTCCGTATCTTCAGCCTGTTTAAATAGACTGGTCTTTGCTGATATATTATCTATAGAACTGTCATAATGCCAAAGTAGGTGTGTCGTTTTTTGCTTCATGTGGCTGTGGATAAATAAATTAAGCTTAAAGAAACATCCCTTTTTTGACTCATGTCATGGTACCTTTGTTGAACTGTGAAGGCTTATATTTCTGTTTCATTTACTGCCTTTCTTATGTCTAAATATGATGCTGTTAAACTGACAGAGACAAGTGCTTCACAAGAAATCCCAAAAAACGATCTTTCTGACCACCAGAGGGCAGCATTTAGCCGCCTTTGAGAGGAGCCTCTTGTTTCCTAGCATTTTTGATATACAGCAAGCAGAAAACACAGGTAGGAATCCTAGTGAAGGCAATAATCACTGTTTGTCCTGGGGAAAGAAATGGCGATCAAAAACTACAATATTTATGTTTTAAATGCAGGAAAGATTGGTCACTGTTCACTGTATTTGTACTGTTGAATATATAACACATTTTGTTTAACCCTTATGTTGTGTTCGGGTCTCCCGTGACCCGTTTCAAGTTAAAATTATATAATAACTACGCTCTAGTTTATTTATCGGAACAAGGCTTCATGATATCCTCCATAGCAGATATATAAACTAGGGCCGGGACTTTAACGCGTTAATTAAGATTAATTAATTACACAAAAATTAACGCGTTAAAAAAATTAACGCATTTTAATCGCACTTATTTTTGCACAGCGGAACGTTTCTCACTGGATGAGTTTCAGGCGTACCGATTATACTGGAGCACCAACTAACGTTCATGACTTCAGACAACAACAAACCACAGTGAACAACAGTGGGAAATGTTGTTTTAAAAAACGGACGGATGGAAGCGTCGATAAGAGCACGGTTGTGTGCAAATTATGCAAAAAGGAATTCGCATATCACCGCAGCACATCAAGCCTCAAGTATCACCTCAATGCAAAACATATAGCAGCTAGCGTGGAAGCGTGGACGTTAGCCTCTTTTATCGCGTTCACACCAAAAAGAGCCGGTACTAAAATTAGTTAATGAGAACCTTTTTACCCCCACGAAAGTCCCTGCTAGAGAGCAGAGAGCTGCTAGAGAGCAGGGACTTTCGTGCGGCTCTCTTGTGAGAAAAGAGCTATATTTCTGATTGGCTGGGCGGATTGCAAACCACGCCCCGTAAAACTCCCAAAAAGTTTTGTGAAGCCGCCATTTTATTATCCTCGCATTAGCATTATTAGCATTAGCCCAGCGCAGAAACGCAGAGAGACTAACTTATGGCGACACAAAATAAAACATGGGAGCGGTGGAGATGAGGAGGTGTCGGCGTTCTGGCGATTTACTCAGAAGGCTGCTGGGACTCCCAGCAGCTTCTACTGAAGCCAGTCCCTAACTCCGGGGACTTCCGGCCGGGGACTTTGGGCGGCAGTATACGCCGTGAAGTGGTTTGCGGCCTGCCAGTAAACCCAAAGCAGAAGAAGAAGAAGTGACGTCAGCGGCTTCATTTGCCTAATCCACCCCCAGGTTCAAAGAGTTCTCATGAACTAAATTCTCATGAACCTTTGTGGGAAAAGTACTGCGGTGTGAATGCGCCTAATGGTATACTAAAATCCATGTGAAAAAAAATTGCTTCTCACTGTTCTTAGGTCAAATATGTATATGCGATTAAAAATGCGATTAATTTCGATTAATTCATTACAAAGCCTCTAATTAATTAGATTAATTTTTTTAATCGAGTCCCAGCCCTAATATAAACACTACAAAACAGATTTTGATAATTTTTGCCAAGTCTGAAGGTCTCTAAAAAAGAAAGTGTATCATTTGGTGTTCGGGTTTGGGGAGACCCAGCAGAATTGTTTTGGGTGACTCTGGGTCAAATTTGGGCCCAATCAAGATTCATCTTTGACTTTAGACGCCCCTCCCCCACCCCCTTCATCCACTGTAACAATCATTTTTCGCAACATGCACCTGGTCTCCCCTCCCTCTGCCCCCCTCCCCCCACGGGAACTCCACCTGTCTCAAAGAATATGCACACGAACACTTGAACCTGAACTCACACATGCACGTGTGCAATATGTGGAGTAATGTGTTTTGGGCCATATAATACAATTAAAACAGGATTGTACGGTTATGAATGCATTATAAGTTAGTTATGATGTAGTTAAAACAATATTGGATGATAGTCATTATTTGTGTGTGTTTTGGACTGAGATAAATCATGGGTCAAAATTTACCCGCGAACACCATGAACGGTAACAGCTTTCGAACACAAGGGTTAAAGTGAGCACTTGTAAAATATGTCACATTCAGCAAGTTTATTATTTTACCTGCCTAGTCCATTTAAATAGTGTTGTGTTTTGCTACTGTCTTTGTTCCTTTTCTTCAAGCTGATTTTTTATTAAATTACAGCATTAAAGTACAGATTTTGAAGAAGGTACGTTGAAATCGGAAAACTTTAATTAACTGATGATGCATTGGATCATCAAAATCTGATGTAATATCCAAGATCAGACACAGAAAGCAGCTGTAACACCTTAAACATAAATAAGAAGTGCAATTTCAAGCTTAGGAGATGAATATTTGTTTGAAGAAAGAGTAAAGGTTGACAAATAGTTTGAGTTAGTCGTTAACGTTGAGGCAACAAAAGGTTGAAGAAGTGACTGAAGTTGAAGGAGTCATAGGAGGAATTGAGTTAAAGTAGGATACATGCTTAAAAAAGGAATTAAAGTAGCAAAATAAGTTGAAGAAGATATGTATTAAAGCATAAAGAGAAATATAAGTGTTTATATAAAATAACCTGTTAAGCCCCGAGTCTGTTTTTCAGGTCTCAGGCTCGAAAATGACATTCCCAGAACAAATGACCATATCTTCCCTTCTAAAAGGGTTACATTAATAATCTTTTTTCTCAAAGCAAGGTTACACCTGTGAGTTGGATGTAGAAGAGTCAGAATCAATATAGATGTCTTTATTTTAAAGTAAATTCAGATTGAACACAGTAAAAAAATGTAAATGATTGTGTCGGTCTAAAAAAAAAATTACTTATAGTGAAAACCACCCTTGAATGATGGGATAGTAGACTAAAAGCTTTAGGAATCCAAACTACAACATATAATAAGTACCCTGTATCAAGATTGATGCAAAACAAGTGAAATTTGACCTTTTTAGAGAGATTTAGCAAAGAAAACTCTTCTGGGGTAATTTGGGTGGATTTTACCTATCTCTGGCCCCCCTTGCTCGATTTTGCTGATTGACATCTCTTTCTAACCGTCAGAGCCAATGGAATCGAGGGGAACTCATACTCCTTATTTGGTAATGTCTGTGTGTGAGACTGCCGCATAGCCAAAACCGGAAGCTGCGATAACTCTGGTGGCTACCATAAGCAGCTAACTTTTACTCTCCGATTTTTACATAAACATTTAATTATGGATTATAAATTAAAAACATTATTCCACAGAAACATTATCAACCAATGGATTAACCGATTCAGCCTCGTTTTTTCTCGTTTTAATGCCATTGAACACGTCTTTTAATCAGATTGACAGCTACGGTGAGACGATCTCCCGTAAAAGCTACGTAAAGGTACGTGTTGTGATGTCTGTGTTCGCTTCCCCTGTCCCGAGTTCGGATCACTCAGTGATGATATATATACCTAAATAATCTGTGGAACCTCAGCTTTAATTGGATATCTTGTTGTGCAGCTACGATAAGTAATAAGGGTATATTTTATCTTGAGTTCTGTGCCAAAGTGCGTTAGCATTTTTCGCTCAGGGGTCATTTAGATGCTTCTTATGAGACTTGTGTTTTGTTTTGGTAAAAATGGTTTATATCGTCAGTTAGCTGAGATTATTCCCGTTAATCTGGTATAACACATTAATAGGTTCTTAAATATTAAGATCCCCTGAGACACAGTGTCGTGAGAAAAAAAAAAAAAGTACCCGCCGAGGTGGACCTTGGGGCTTAACAGGATATATATATTAACAGCCATATTATAATTAAAAACTTAACTTTAATAATATTTTTCTCTTGTAATTTGCAGTAAAATACAGCTTTCATATGGATGTTTCTGTTGTTTTTTCCCTGGATCCTAATTAACAGGCTGTACATTTGAATGTTAAAAGTTAATGAATGCACATACATTGAGCGTGTACACATGTAAATAGTTATACAGGGGGCCTCTTATGTTAATGTAGACACACACACACACACACACACACACACACACACACACACACACACACACACACACACACACACACACACACATACACGCAGCTCCATGTACACACACATATGGAAACGTATCATCGCTGCATGCTAACTGACCGAGCCAATCAAATCTGCCTAATGAGACATCTGGCATTCTGCCTGCATGTAGATGTCAAGCCTAGAAACACCTGGGCCTTCACACAAACACGCGTGCACACACACACACACACACATGCTCACACACACACACACACACACACACACACACACACACACACACACACACACACACACACACACACACACACACAATCCCATCTCCTTTTCTTCTTATCAGTGCTCAGGTTTATCAGATCTGGTGGAGGGGAAGACTAAGACAGAAGCATTTTTTTACACTCACATGCACACACAGACACTCACACACACACACACACACGCATGCACGCACACGCACACACACACACACACACACACACACACACACACACACACACACACACACACACACACACACACACACACACACACACACAAATCCCCTTTCTTCTTACTTCATCACTGCTCGCAGACCTGGTGGAAGACTGGGAAAAAAACACATTGATAAATCCTGGATGGATCACATATTTACTGAACTCACACATACACACACACACACATACATACATACATACATACACACACATACACAAACACACACACACACATACACACACACACAAACACACTCATACAGACAGAGGAAGAAGTTGTGGTCAAGACTACCGGCCCAATGCACACACACACACACTCATTCTCTCACACACAGTCCCTTCACACATGTGATATATTATGCATACATGAGTGTGTGTAACGCACTCACCACGGTCATAAATTACATATATGGCAGCGGTGGAGGAGGGGGTCCGCAGAGAGGCGAA